TGCATGTTAAGTTGTACACTTACTTGCAGATGGCATTACATGCTTTTTAAAAATCTCTTTCAGCACACCATGACTTGGGCTATTTTTATGGCTCAAGTTACGTAGCTGCACCAGATGGCAGCAGGACACCAGGACTCTCTCGTGTTCGGGATGGACTTCTGGTGGTAGAGATGGATCTGAATCTTTGTAGGCAAGTCAGTGACAAATGGAATTTTAAGGTAAGCCTGCTTATAAAGAAACAAACTTACATATGATATTAGAACAAACAAGCTTTCATAATGATTTTATGATCCTGCAGTAGTTTAAAGACAGCCTGTTTTGTTGTTGTTTTTCAACAGTCCAGGGCTCAAATTGTTGAACTAATTTAACAGGATGTTCTGGAGGCCAAAGCCACAAATGGATTCCTAAAAGGAGTAGCCAAATTCAGGGAAACTAGGCCAATAGCTTTTAAATGAAAAGATTAGCCTTGGTCCTTGCGGTAGAGTGCCAGGAGCTCCAAGGACTGCTAGGGAAGTGCATGTGGTTTCCTTGGGCAAGGTATGTGGGCATTTGCACTGAGCTGAGATGGGCCTTTGATCTGACCTAATATGGGGGATCTTTATGTTCCTATAGGCCTTATTTGTAAGTTTAAATGAAAATCAGTGAAAACCCGAACCCACAACAATCTTTATGCTTCTTAGAACTTTCTGAATGGAAACTTCTTGCACTGTTAACTCCCTGAATTTTATGGACGTGTTGAAGCCACAGAGAACTGTGTGCCTTCATCTCTAAAGCATCCTAACACACTTTTGAATTTACCTACAGCAAGTTAAGATGGCTGCAAGCTTTTCCACATGGCTTTAACAGACTTATTTATTACTATTCTCTTAATATTCTGAGGTAAAGCTCATTTGGATCAGCTTTCCCGAGGGTATAATTTGATTTAATTTGTCCAGCAGTGCTGCTGGTTTAAAAACCTGCCACCTCAGCACTGCAATTTGCTAACCCTTCAATAGTGCCAGTACAAGCTATGCGGGGTGTCACACTGGGTACTGGTTTAGTGGTGTGATGGGACTTTTTTTATTTATTTTAACAAACATTTATTTTACAGATGTGTGTAGTGGGTAGGTGGTTGTTGTAGTAGTGGAATTAAACTGTGCTGAGAGATTCCCACTGTTGTTTAACTCAGGTGTTTAGTTTTGCTTTGCCATGGACAGCTGAAGCCCTAATAACAGAGTAGAGATGTAGTGCGTCAGGAAGCACATGAAGCATTGCTTACCACAGTGTCATAGGGGTATCTGAACAAAAGCAGTTGTATTGATTAGGAAAAACAAACAGTAAAAAAAAAACACACTGACCTTTGGCTGTTTTGTACAGAATTGATTATTTTTTATTGTGTTCAAGACTTGTGTTTTCAGCACCTTAGCTTTATGTTGATGGTGTGGATTGCTATTGTTGGTCTTCTGGCACATAAGGCACAGCTGTAGCTTTTGTTCATGTCACAGGGGATATCTGTTTCCTTTTCCTCCCATTTGTGGCCAAGACAGAGGTAGTTCTTGATACGAGGGGAATGAGGAAGTATGAAGTCATCAGTTATCCATTGCATAAACCCCTTGATAGCAAGCAGGAACCTATTTAACCTACTCTAGTGTCTGCAATTTGCGTTCATTGATGCCTGAAAGGGATGTTAAGTAGAATGTCTTTGCTAAACTTACAGCAGGAAAATAGTTAAAACAAGTTGCCCTCATTACACTCTGGCAAGAAAGAAGTAATTCACCCCTCTCCCAGCCAGTGTTGTAGACTGTACACTTTGGAAGAGGGTGATAGCACTACATAAAGTGCTGTATTCCAGCCTCCTAGATTACTGTACCACCCAAAACAATGATACTATTTTGTATTATTGATGACTAAAGTAAGAGCAACCTAAATACCATCAGTGGCACATTGCTGCCAACAGTAAGTTTGCATGAGTTCATTAGTTGTCAAGGACATAATATGATAAGATAGTTACAGATACACTCCTGTGCCCTCATTGACATAACTTACTTAAAAGAGAATATTGTTGATGGTAAGGAAGTCAGTCCACCTTTCACATTCAACTTTCATCTATCCAGGATAACCAAAATAGCCTTAATTATTCAGCAGACATGACTGTCAATGAAGGAGAGCTGCAAAACAGGAAGGTGTTCAATTTGAAGTTTTACTTTTCAGAATAGACATGTACTTTTTTGGGGGTGGAAGTATAGTTTTAGGCAACACAATGTGAGTTCTTTTAGAGAAGTATGTTAGTTTGTGCTAAGACGCTGGAGGTCTTGCATTTTGAGTGAATTATTTTACATTTGGGGAAAACTAAATAATATGTCATCATTTAAAAAAAGGGTGAATGTAAATATTTTCTACTGAAGTACTTCCACAGCTGACCAAAAGGACTGAAGCTTTGGTTTTTCTTTTCCAGATGACTGGTAGATATGAAATGTATGCAGATAAGCTCACTGAAGCAGTCCAGCCTTGTTTTATACCCAATATAATCAAAGAGAGAGCATCTCATTAATGTCAAATAAAAAGGTACTGTTGGATCACAAGCTATTATTTTAATGTTGTAATTTTAATTTCCTGTGAACAGCTTTCAAGTAGTAGAACTCAAACCTGTGTTAAGTAAAATGATTGCGAAATAGCTTCTTTGGTTCCGGTTTGCAGTTTTGATTTTGGTTTGTTGGTTCTTTTTCATTTACACTGATGAGTCCAAACTTTTTGTTTGTTATGAGAAATATATCCAGTAGGAATATATTGCTATAAAGTGATGATGAAATGTATTCAGTATTGTTTATTGTGATATAGTTTGATGGAAATGATGCATTCAGAGGAGATCAGAATTTTCACATAGGCTTTGCATCGTGTGTCTATTCACTTCTGCTTTCCAGTTCTTTACCCTCTAGCCAAAAGCATAATTTAGGGAGAAAGAAGGCATCAATTATTTTAATGTCTTTTCTTTTAATTACAAACTATTTAATAAAGTTCTGTTAGACTTAAATGTCCCAAACATGTCTGAGTTGTTTGAAGATCTCTGGGTACTGCAAAGCAAGATCACTTTGGTTCTATTACCCTTTATACTATGAATTACAAGCACAGTTGGACCAATGTCTTGGATGGACTCCTTCAAGGTGCAGAAGTAGTGCTGCAGACAGAGGCTTTTAGTATCTTCAGAAGCTCAGTGCTATGTTATGAGGCCAAAACAGAAACTCTGGCTGAAGCATAGGCCAGGCCAGTGCCATGCATTGTGAACAGAAAGCCATGGAGATGCTATCAGGGATAAGGATGGGTAATGAAGACTGTTTCCCTGGAGCTGAACTCCAGTAGGGTACTCAGTGGTTGTGGAGTACACAAAGCAGCTGTTGAATATAGATGATAGTAACAATCCATTTGCTGTTCTCAGCTCCTCGTGTATCTTGAAATTTGCTTTAGTGTGATTCAGGTGATACAGTGGGTGTTCAGGAACTGCAGCATGAATACAATTTACAGCCTAGCAACTCTGAATTCATAGCCGAAATAACTATTTGAACTCTTAGTTTTTTTTCCCAAATCACAATTTCAGCTCTACCACTTCCAGTTAAATATGTAACACACGCTCTAAAGATTTTCCAACATGTTTCATAATAAGTTAGTTAATAAATACACTTGCCACATTATGTTACAGGGTTATCTGTGACTTTAATCATTTATTGAGAATGGCTTAATTACAAATAAAAATATATTTATGTATAAAATCCCTGCATGTAAAATACCCCTTACTTTGCTATTGACACCATGAAGGAAACAAAGTGACGTTTTCAGAATGAGTATTTCCATAGACAGTCTTGTAACGGGAAACAAAGTTTCAGAAAATGCAGATGTGCAGTGAACTGCTCTTAAATCTGAATTTGTCTCATATAAATACTCAGCATTTTCACTTGGCTTTTGCTTCTTGTGTTTTCACCCTTCATAGCTACCCTGCTTTTGGCAGCTATGAGATCCTCTTGCAGCAGTGGAGCTGTCTGTAGTAGCTTTAACAGCTTTGTCTTTATCTTTCAGTTTTGTTGAAGTATTTAAACTCCGTGTACCAAATACTGAAGAGTCAATATTGTTACACCTATCTGTGCACTTCAGAACACTTAGCTTGCTCTCAAGTTCATGTTTTATGCATAAGCTCAAGATTCATATTTGGATAACCAAACCAGTAAGAGGCTAAATGTCAGTTACAAGCCCTTTGAAGAACTGTTTTTATTTAGCTAACCAAGCCTGCTCTGAAATAAATCTGAGGCAGCTCAGTGGTAGTGGATGAACTACCTACCTGAAACCACAGGGGTTAACAAAGTACTCTATTGGCCTGTAGTCCACATACCTGTTAATTAGTAACACAGCTAATACAGTCTCTCCAAATCAAACATCCTGAATTCGGACTTGGGGCATAAAAATTCCCACATCAGTAGCCTTCCAGTGACTGACTTATGATCACAAGGCCTTATCCATAATAGGGTTGTACTTTTTTCCCAGGATTCTGCTGGGTGCCACTAATGTGCTGGTTTTACTACTCATAAATTGCATCCTAATTTTTACTCCTTTTGCAATGTATTCCAGCTTCACCAATTATAACCAAAATATAATACACTGAAAATTTCTCGTCAGATACTTCTTGTTCAGGACTTCTTAAAGGCTACTGCATGTATATGTCTGTTACCATTTGTTTGTGCAAAGGAGCACTCCTAATTCTACTAACATTACTTATTAAATGCTTTCAAGTTACTTACTCAGTACATCAAAAACTGATGATAGAAAATCTTTCTCTTTAGCCAAAGTTTTTTATGATGCTTAAAGTAGATTCCTACTACCTCCACCACTAAGTAACAATGTCTTTCTACTGTTATTACACAGTTCTAGAACTTGAACAGTTCCTTTTCCTAACACCATGGCAGAGGTGCAGGATGTCTGTCTTAAGTGCAAAAGAAAATTGTGCTAGCTTTACATCAGTATTGATATTTCTACTCACTTCCACCCAGACAGGACTGGAGATCAGGACTTGTAGGAAATTGTGACGGATGAAATCTGAAGTAAGTGGCTATTCCTTACACTTTGGAGCACTCCTCAGCAAAGTGATTAAATCCATGTAAACCATGAAAGAATTAATAGGCCGCTAACAGTTTCACTTGATGGCTGAATACAGTAACTCTGGTTTAAGCCCAATATGTATATACTGTAGCATAAGAGCTAGAAAATGAGTTCCTGCCTTTTTACTTGTATTCCCTCTTCTTAATTGATTTCAGCTCTTCTTAGGTCTCTGAACTAATACCAGTGGCAAAATTTGGCTCAAATAATGATTCAGCATTTTAGTTATAATCCAATATACACTGTCAGATATTTACAGTTACCCACAAAATGCATGCCATTAGTGTAGATGCTTATTTTCTGCACTGGCTGAAGTTTAAAGTTTATATTTGGAATGGCTTCTGCAGAACCTGGCACATGGGGGTGGCATAATGCTCAGAGGTTTTGGCAAAAAGCAAGACTTATAGGTACAAATAAAATATCTTCACTTCTAGGGCAACACAGAGCTCTGAGCAGTCATCCTAGAGGATTTAGACAAAAGAGATTAAGTTTGTGGGACGAGGGAACAACATTAATAACTATTAATTCAAAACCAAATGCAGTGGCATAAATGCTGTATTTGTGTAAGGTGAATTTGGATAAATGTGTTTCATTCCTACAATACAGACCTGATGAGCCAGCAAGGTGGTTTTTTTTGTAATTTAATAGTGGTTTTAAGTTAATATTTTTTCCTTCCATAACACCCTGCTGAGCCTCAAATCCCTAGATTTTGGATGAAGATCAGCCCTTGATGCTTTGACAGAGAAACAGGTATTCTGCTTTTTTCCCCTCCTGTTTCTGTTTAGCTAAACCTATGCATGTATTACTAAGTGTTAAAGTTCATAAATTTGGTGCTGCTTTTTTTCTCATGTGCTTAATTTGAAAACAAACTCAGAGTGAATCAGGCTCTGGGGCCATATTTTAAAACTGCTGTCAAATGTGCAATGTTGAGGAAAAAAACCCCCAACAACAAACAAAACCCAACCAAACACAAAAACCAGACATACAATGCAAAATTAGATACATCATGAGGAAAAAAAGGTAAAGACAGCATTGTAATATAGTCCTATCAATGTCTATAAAGCCTCCCTTGTTTAAGATCCCACTGCAGTTCAGGAGCAAGGTCTCTGCAGGGGCAGTCCTGAGACAAGCAGCCAGCTGCCATGCAGGCTGCACAGGAAAGGGCCAGGAGCATCAAGTGTGGACGTCAGCTGTCTGTGTAGATGAACAGAATATCTTCATCAGTGCCATAACTTGTCCTGGCTTCCTCAAAGTTACTGATGCTGGTGCAGCACGTTCCTGTTGAGGAGGAACAAAATGTTACTAAGAATTCAGAAGAATTTGCCTGTGAAAAGCTCTTATACTGGGGTTAGCAGCCTCTACAAGGAGAAATAACTAGCATACAGACTAAAACTATCAGCTTAGGTTACAGCTTTACTCATGGGTTTCATTTTGATGCACCATGAAGCAAGCTTTACATGTAAATGCAGAACTAGGGGCCTGCTTCAATGGTGGCCTTAGCAATGCCAGGTTAATGGTTGGGTTTGGTGATCTCAAAGGTCCGTTCCAACCTCAACAATTCTTGATTCTGTGATCTTTTCAGCTCAAAGCCAGTGCTCATGGAAGTAATGCTGTAAATAGGTACTAAATTGCCCATTCTGTTATATTCTGCACATAGGAACAGTTCAGCATCTCTCACAAACATAGCTGAGAGCCAAACACGTTTGCTAGAATGAGTATCTCAATTCCTCAAGTAAATCACAGCACAAATACAGCACTGACATAATTAATGTGGCAAAACCCCTTCTGATAAATTGGTTAGCGATGTTTGAGCATAGGCACACTGTTAGAGGAGGTCCATCAGGTCCAGCTGTAGCTCTGTATTACAGACATCACTAAAATGATGGTTGATAATCCACCCAAAAGGAACAAGCTACTCACGGTCAGCATAGGCAGGGTTGTTGTAGTAAATAGTCCCTGAGGCTTTGTTGTAGCCACATAGCACAATGAAATGGCCCTGGTAGTCAGGATTCCTGCAGAAGCACTTCTGTCCAATGGGGAGGAAGCAGCAGTATTTGACAGGACTTGAGCAAAGGTCACACAACAGCAGGACAGCGTTCACTAGGACAATGGCTACGTGACCTTGAGACAGGTGGTTCTGAATGTCTTGAACAGTTACTGTGCTGCAGAAAAAAGATCAGGCATGTCTAAGTTCAGGGAAGAGACTGGTACGCAATGAAGTGTGTGGTGATGGACAGTACTTAAGACATGCAGTTGGCATGTTTTGTCACAGGTACAGCTTTTTGCTGTTAAACCCAGCCAGCTTTGCTACAAAGCCTGACAAAACCTGTGTCATTCAAGGCCTATTGATCTCATCGTTGCTGCTGAAGTGCACAGCAAGAGCTCTGGGTTCTGCAGTAACATCAATGTGATCTCTGAATGTATCAGATGCCCCAGAGAAGAGTTTTAAAGGAGCTGGCAACTCAGTAACCTGAGAGACTTCTGTTGTGGGAAAATCGTAAAGCGAACGTTCTCTCCTGCTCCTAGAAAAGCTTATTTCTTAAGCACCAAATCTTTACTGGCTGAGGGGTTAAAGATTGTACAATCACTAACCAATTAAGACGTGCCCAAATCTGCCTCTGTCCCACAGGAATACACTTCTCCCAGTTGCAGTTTTGGACTACCTGATGCTCTTGGGGCTTTACTGCTACAGTACCTCCTACAGAAAATGAGTATTAACCAAACATAACCTATAACCTTCTCTGTTAAATGCTGTCCCTCACTGAGGCATGTGCAGTCCATATGCATTAGAAGCTCATTCTTGGGATACATTTTAGATGTCCAGGCTGTGTGCACTGAACTCATGCTTTTTAATCTTTTTGACACCCAAGCCTCAGTACTGTGTCTACACAGGCAGACATGCCCTCTGTCCTTGCCTTGATCCAGGCCATGATCTTAAGATGGCTAATGCAGGATGGACTGACTGAACCTTCTGTCCTGTCACAGCTCTAGTTAAACAGTGCCAAAAAGACTGGTGTGTGTGTGTTAAAAAGGACACTGAAAACTCTGCTCAATGCAAGTTGCATTACAGCATTCAAATGACAGCTGTTGTGGCTGCCCTGCACCCTCTCTTCTTTCCCTGATCATTTACCCTTGACAACAGAGATCCAAATCCAGCTTCACTATAAAAAGGGATGCAACTCAAATTGAACATGGACACTTTGTTATTTCCCGTGTAGAACATCACTGTCAGCTGTGAAACAATTCTGTGGTTTTTCCTCCTCCCCTGGGTTTGCAGTTCCTCCATAGACGTTCCTTATTTCATCCTCCTCTTGGCAAAAGCTTGTTTGCAAGCTTTTTCTTTGCCTGTTTGTCTAGGAACAGAGAGCTATAATGTTTGCACAGCTCTGGGAACAATGGGCTGTGTGTCCACATAGCACTCTCCTTAGTTCTAGCAATGGCCAATTAGAGTGTTGTAGGCACTCCCTACTGGGTAATTTTAATGGATAATCCACTTCAAAACATAAACAATAGCCAAGTCCAGTCAGGATTTTCAAATAGTAATTCTGTGTCAGGTATTTTTCTTCAAACTTTGATATTAACTCTTGATGTCCACATTATTTGAGATGTATTTATTAGAAAGACTGTAATTCACCCCCCCCCCCAAAAAAAAAAAAAGGCTCAGGGCTTGATTTCAGTCTCTTTCACCAGTTTAGTTTTGACTCCAAGTAAAGGATAGGGCCCACAGACTCTCCAAAGACAAAGAAAAGAAAACAACAGGCTTACCACTTCTCCACCAGCACCTTGCAGGCTTTGGCTTGTGCAAAGAGCTGATTCACTCGATTCTCTTCTGTGTCAAAGTGCTTCCTGTAAAATGACTGTGGAGATAATAAAAGTTATGAACTGGAATGATGTTTCCCTTAGGTAATCCACCACTTAAAATCTCTGCTAGCAAGGGCCTGCATAAGCTGGAGATCTGGTTATGGAATAAGAGATCTCTCCCTTAGTTAACTGATAAGTGTAAAAGGATTCCTGCTCTGAATTGTTTAAATTCACTCCTGGTCAGTCACTGTAACTTCATCCAGTGGCTGTTCAGCTGCCTACATGAAAGAAGCCTGCCTGGTTCACACTGGGCAGGAGCTTGCCTTAGAAAAGCCATTGCTACTATGGACCCTCACTGGCCCACTTGCTGGCAGTCTTGAAGAGGCTGAGTTCCCCTCTCACCTCTAGAGGTGGTTCTTCCAGGTCAGGGCTGAGGCACGGTGGTGGGGAAAGGGTGGAAGCTAGCACTGCTGCTGCCCAGGCTGTACCTGTTCTGTAGATAGACAAAGGGCTTCAGTCTCCAGGCTGTCAAATAAGTGGAACCTTTCATGAGCACTACATGAAAACTTTTCCAAAATTCATGTTATGGAATCAAGGATGTGAAGTATGCGGGTTTGTATCCAGCATCGCCTTTGGAACTGATGTGGCAACAGGCAAACCTTGTTTACAGGGATTGTGGTTGACTGTCAGTAACACAGCAGAGCTTTTAGAGCGTGACACACAGGGCTTTTAAAGTTCTGCTGTCTCCCAATACATGAGAATACTAACCTGATTTTTGTAGCCCTTGTCCACTCCAAGTGTCTGGGTGCAAAACTTATGCTTGACACCAAAGTGCCGCATTAGGTAGGCCAGGTCAATAGTCCAGATACTCTTTGTTAACTGGAGTTCCTGGATGGCCTTCTGAAATTCGTCATTGTCCAAATGATTCAGATACCTATGGTATTAGGAAAGGCAGGGAAGGGAAGCACAGATCTTAAGAGAAGCAAAATGTGTCCTGTAGCCCAAGCTTCCACATCACAGGACGTAAAAACCAAAACAATGGGCTTGGCTAATAAAAACCAAAAAGAAAACAACCCACAAAGGAGCCACAGATTTAAGGGAAGGGAAGGGAGTAGGGAATGTTTAACGGATTTATTGCTGACTTTTTAAAATTGGAAATGTATGTGTATCTTGACTGATTTATAATGACAGAAGTGTACAGGTGCTGTACAATAAGCAAGCTATTCTGAGCAAGTATAGAACGCTGTCCTGACGGGCTTACAGTCTAAACGTACAAGCATATTAGAGCAAACACAGAAAGAAGTGTTAAGGACTAAAACTTGCTTCACGCAATAGATGGATTTCAAAAGGAGGAACTGTAAAGGAAGTCAGTAAATATTCAAAGGAATCTTTGTCTTAGGCACTGATGGCACAAAAGGCAACATAGGGGAGATGAAGTCAGGAGAAGGGTTGGGACAGGCTGCAGAGGGGTAGGGAAAGGCAGTTACAGAGAGTTCTAGAAGTCAGAAAACAAATGGAAGTAAATGGGAAAAAAAAAAAGGGAGGGACTGGAATTGAGGATACAGGGTAAATGAGGCTGTATCAGCAGGGTGAGAAGATTAATCTTGGAAGCTGAGGTTTGGACAGACTGGAGTGGCAAAGAGGTAAAGGGAAGAGAGGCAGAGGTTACAGTAGTCAAGATGGGAAATTACCAGCACACGGACTAACGTCTTGGCAGAAGGGATGGAGAGAAATGAAAATCTTCTGCTTCATATCTACTAAGTGGACATCTAAATAGGTATTTCTCCTGCACCTAAGCTCATGTTCCTCTGTGGAAGGAAAGAGGAGTTCAGCAGGACAGCTACTAGTTCAAAAAAAGAAAAACCAAAACAAAACCAAAAACCACCCCAAAGGGCAATACAGTGCATTGTTTTGAGTTGAATCTACTCCTGGAACAAAAACATTCACCCACAGACTGGGGGCTCAGCAGAACGGAGCAAGTATGTACTCGTAAACTGGGCTATGCCTACCCATCATTTGGGAACAACAGAAGGGAGGCAGGTGAATTGCTGTGCTATGCAGCTGGCCTGAATTCTAACAGCAGGAAAGAGGAATAACTTTTTATCAGCTTATGCATGCTGACCTGTACAGTTCTTACAGGTATTTTGCATCTGTCAGAACTGGCAGTTATTCAAAAGGGTCTTAAGTTAAGCTTAGTTTCAATTTTCCCTTGCTCCTGCTGGAAAGCTGTGCCAGGCCCAGCAGCAGTAATTCTCTGAGGGTACCTGAGAGTATGTGTGTACTCTTGTAAGGCTAAATTCAACGCACAGCTGCTTCACCACACCTCTTCTCCCTAGACATTGCTTCCCACTACCCCATCCCATGGGATGGCACTTCCCACCCATCCAAGCCAAGAGAGTCACTTACTGCAGCACCATCCTGGAGCAGGCCAGCCCACAGTCCCAGTGGTAGAGCTGCTGAATGACTGGCACTTTCAGCTGGATACAGTCAACTGCAGTGAAAACACCCCAGTGTGAGTAAAACACGGAAAATGTCAGTGCAGGCAGGAACGGGGTTTCCATACCTTGGCATTCAAACACAGCTTGTCCTCAGCACTATGGCTGTGGGAACTTGGGAGCATGTTTTTACTTTATGTGATTGGCAGGTATTTGTGTCTTTCTGAGAGGGATGTAGGTTTGGTACTTATGTACAGTTAAGTGGTTGGTTTAATCTTGTACTCCTTTATTGTTCCATGCCTGGATTGCTCTGCTGTATGATACACCCCCTTCTCCTTTGGAAGTTTCATGTTATTCCTGGTGGGGTGGCATCCCACCAGTCCACACTAGGAAGGCATATCCTCTCCTAAATAATAGTAGGTAAGGCACAGGTATTAATCCTTTCTCTTCTGTCTGAATCTATTTCTGTGCCACAAAAGGAGTTAAACCAAACTCTGAGAAAACAGACACAACCAAGATCTCCAGGTACTGATTTCCCACAGCCCCACAGATTTGAGCCTTTTCTGCAGCTGTCTTTTTCCTCAGGGACTGCAATTTGCTTTGAGTGATTCCAGGTTAACAAAGCTCACAAATGGCACCAGTTGCCTTTGGATTAACTCCCTCAACAAAGGGAGAGGGGAGGAAGAACAATCTCTACCAAAAAGTCCCAAAATGCCGTAACTCCTTCCCTCTGCCACAGTTCTTATTTTTATAGGGTTGGCAGTGTGGTGGCTTCCATTTCAGAAATGCCCTTGGGCTCGATGGGCTTGAAGAGCTCTGCCTATTAGTGCTGCTTCAGCATCAATCCAAGTGAGTTAATCATAAAGGGTTTTTCTCAGTAACCTCACCTCTGATCTAGAGAAGACCTTTGAAAAGTTCTGGTAACACAAGGCCAGCTATATTTTAAGATAGGAATAAAACCACATTTGACATCATGTGGACCGCTCTAGTTTTGATGCAATTTTATAACTAAAATGTTTTAGATAATGTTGCTTGTAATTTTTTGTTACTTTTAACAGAGCTACCCACCTACAGTAGGGACAAGCCAATTCCCGACTCTTTTCCGAACGCTTTTTCATGGTTGTGCCACTGTTTAATGTTGACTTTGACGTCTGGCATACCACTGGTACATTCAATTGTTTTGATTAATTTAGTTAAGTATCCCAAAGAAAAAATGAAAACCCAGGTCCCAGATTCTCCTCAGTATTTTGTCATTTTTCCTTGGCGTGTGTCATAGTTTAACCCCAGATGGCAGCCGAGTACCACGCACGATTCTGTCCCCTTTCTGTAATTACCCAAGATTTGTTATTACTGTCGAGTGCCAGGTTTCATTGAAGAGGTGCATATTTTCTATACGAAGACTTAAAAGGGTAATAACTTTTAACTTGCTTGTATATTCAGCTTCCAGTTACCCTGTTTCCCAACACACCCCGACTTCTTCAGTGATGCCTGTGGACTGTCCTAAGATAAGACACAAGCCCGTGTCCCCTGTGGCCGTGAGTAACACCGCCTCTCTGCTTCGCCAGCTCCTCGGAGCAGCGAACTTAGAGCGAACTTACCGGAGCCGGTAACTCTACGTTGCTGCTGGCAAAACCCGCGGCTCCAGGAGGGCGGAGACCGGCCGGGCCTCCGAAGGGACCACACCAGCCACTAACATGCGGGGTGAGCCGGGCCGAGCCCAGGGCTGCCTCCCCGGCCCAAGTCGGCGCGCAGCCCATCCCGCCGCCCGATTCCAGCCCCAGCTCTGCCCGGCGCGCACTGACCTGGCGGCGGCTCCCCGTGCTCCCCGGGGCTCTTCATGGTGGCGGTGGCGGCGGCGGCTCCTGCCGCCCGCTCACTGCCGGCTCCACCGAGCCGGCCCCCGCCGCGGCGCGGCCCAGGGCCCCGGCATGCTTCGGCGCGGCGCTGGCTCCTCCCGGCCGCGGAGGCGGGCACGGAGGCGGGGGCTGCGGGGGACCGGGCCCCGGGGCGTCTGCCCCGCGCCGTCGCGGCGGTGTTGGCGGCGGTCGTCGGGCGCGCGGGTGGGTACGAGCATGACACGGCGGGCGGGGGACCGGCAGCCGGGGAGCGGCCTGAGGCGGGTGGGGGACCCGGGGGGCGCGGCGACGGCCAGCCCTGCCCCGGGGCGGATCCCCGCCTGGCTGGAACAGGCAGGGCCGGAACCCGGTGTTCGGTCGGGTCGGGTGGGAAGGGAAGGTCCGTGCCGCCACCTTCCGCTTCCGGCGCGCGGGGCACGGCGGGACGCTGGAGGAGCCATTAGTGGTGAGCGCGGGCCCGCACTGAGGTGGGTGTTGAGTGGTGGGGTTTGCGGGCATGTGCCTGATTCGTGTCGCTGTAGCTTCCTTGGGACGCCCCAGGCCTGAGGTAGTGAAGGCACGGCGGGGTGGCCACCGGCCGCGGGGGCTGTGCTCGGGTTCTTGCGGGGACGGAGCTCCTCAGGGCTGGGGCCCTTTTCTCCCCTGGGGTGGGGCTAGGGCTGGGGTCTGTAGGTGAAGGGGGTCGTGCCAGGGCCGGGGGGATGATGTGAGCTGGGCGTAGAGGAGCCCGTTCCTTGCGTGGTGTGGGATGAGCTGCGAGCGCGGCGGGGCAGGGTGAGTGCACCGTTATGTACCTGCACCTGTTTCTGCTTGAGGGGTGCGTGGCTGTACCTGTGTTCCGTTACCTGGTATTTGCAAGGGAGTTTTCTACACCTGGAAACCACCCACTTTTGCTCATCTCGAGTAATTTCTTCCCATGAGCATCTTCCTAAGCAAGTTCCATCAGTGTGTTGCCAAAGAAAGCATACAGTGTGTTTGAGCAAGAGAGAAAATTACTTTATAATGAGAGAGATCATAGCTTGTGTAGGCAAAATCTAGTCTACAGCTTGCTTTGTAATCATGTCTCTTGTTTTTTCTTGTCTCAGGTGTAGAGCCACAGCACCGCAAGCATGTCGATCGGAGTGCCTATTAAAGTCCTGCATGAGGCCGAAGGCCATATCGTGACATGTGAAACCAATACAGGAGAAGTTTACCGAGGCAAACTTATTGAAGCTGAAGACAACATGAATTGTCAGGTACCCCTGCTTCAGGAGGATGAAGGGAGGGCTCTCTGCTCTGTGCCTGGAAAGGCTGATAGCTAAATTGTAGGCAGCATGATTAAAAGACAGTTGCTTTTGTAGTTAGGATAAAGCAAACTATTGCTGTGTGTATACTGTCTTACTGTAGCAAAATGGATTCAGGATTACTGAGTGCTCTGAAGAGATCAGAGCTTATTCTTTCCAATTTTAGAGTTTAATTGGGTAATTCTGTTAATAATATTAGGGTTCTTAAGGTTCTGTTCTGTGAACAGTGTTTCTGGTGGACTTCCTTGTTTAAAGACACTGAGCATAAGAATAAGCAAACTTTGATTTAAGCAATTAAAGCTCTTTTTTTTGATGCATATTGCTTTAGTCATCCCAAGAGGGCTTAATTTTGATTGACTTTAGGCAAGGTATTGTTGAAATCAAAATGCTTCCTTGATAGTTAGGACTAGACTAGACTAAACAATCGGTTTCATTAAAACCGATTCAATATGAGGAAACAAAATTAACAAAGTTGATAAAACTGAATCATCAACTGTGGAGAAAGTATGAGTCATGGGTCTGTTTGAATAGCAGCACTTACAGGAATATGTTTAAATGGTCCTGGATTCTTGCATCACAGCTCCAGGTGAGAAAGCAGTATGCTTGGAAAGTCTTTGGCTTTGGTACCTGAATCCTGACTGTGTATTCTGCAGGCAAGGGAAATAGGATCACGGGCTGTATTAAAGGCCTCTGTGAGCACTGCCTTATTTTTACTTTCCAGATGTCCAACATAACGGTGACGTACAGAGACGGACGAGTGGCACAGCTGGAACAGGTCTACATCAGAGGCAGCAAGATACGGTTTCTCATTTTACCAGATATGTTGAAGAACGCTCCTATGCTAAAGAGCATGAAGAATAAAAACCAGGGCTCTGGAGCTGGGCGAGGAAAAGCAGCTATTCTCAAAGCTCAAGGTATGTAGTTTGTTTATGGGTTCCTCTTCCCCATTTTGCTGTAGAAGACCTGGAAAATTCTTATCTCTGTCACTGAGGACATGTAAGCTGGAGGAAACAGAGATTAAGGGTTCATACAGGCACAGCTGCAGGTTGGCAGAGAAGAGATTCAGAGCAGCCCTGTGGAGAAGGACTTGGGGGTGTTGGTTGATGAGAAAATGAACATAAGCCAGCTTCAGTGTGTGCTTGCAGCCCAGAAAGCCAACTGTGTCCTGGGCTGCATCAAAAGGAGCGTGACCAACAGGTCGAAGGAGGTGATCCTGCCCCTTTACTCTGCTCTCGTGAGACCTCACCTGGAGTACTGTGTGCAGTTCTGGTGTCCTCAACATAAAAAGGACATGGAACTGTTGGAACAAGTCCAGAGGAGGCCACGAGGATGATCAGGGGACTGGAGCACCTCCTGTACGAAGATCGGCAGAGAAAGTTGGGGCTCTTCAGCCTGGAGAAGAGAAGGCTGCGTGGAGACCTTGTAGCAGCCTTCCAGTATCTGACGGGGGCCTATAGGGATGCTGGGGAGGGACTCTTCATTAGGGACTGTAGTGACAGGACAAGGGGTAACGGGTTAAAACTTAAACAGGGGAAGTTTAGATTGTACATAAGGAAGAAGTTCTTTTCTATTAGGGTGGTGAGGCACTGGAATGGGTTGCCCAGGGAGGTTGTGAATGCTCCAGTCCCTGGCAGTGTTCACGGCCAGGTTGGACAGAGTCTTGGGTGACAAGGTTTAGTGTGAGGAGTCCCTGGCCATGGCAGGGGGTTGGAATTGGATGATCTTACGGTTCTTTCCAACCCTAACTATTCTATGATACGTTGTTTTTCTGCATATTTCATCTTATGGTAGGAGTCAGGACTCCCAACTGTCCAATTACTTGAATGTGTAATATTGATGCTACAATAATTTAGATACAGTGAGTATCCTTATTAAACAGGGGCTTTATATAAAACGTTGCCTTCTGTTTTCTAGTGATTGTGGCCACTAGCTGTTTGGAATATGTAGGGAAGGATTCAGGAGTTCTTGATAAGCTTTCGAGAAAAACAAACTGATATTAAGATAGCACTTAACCTACTGAGAAGCTGTAATTACTAGCCATTCTGTATCTCACTCTCATTTGTACCTCTCTTGGGAGAACAATGTAGTTATAACAAGATCGAGTAATAATTATGGGCTGCAAAGTCCTTGGTTAACTTTAGCAAATGCCTTGAGTTTATATGGGGAAGTAAAATCCGCTGAAATATTCAGAGTTGTGTTGCAACACCTACAAAGAGTGTGGGGTTTTAAATCTCTTGGGCATACAGATTTGTGTGTCATCTTAGAAGGAACACAAAGTGCATAAGTATTCATCTGTTCTAAGTAGCAAGTCTGTGTAACCATTAGTTCTGGTTCTTATCGCAAACTTTCTTGCTGTCACAGCACTTTCTGAACTTCATAGGACAGCCTCGTTTCCTTGCTTGTAAGCCAGAGACTGAGTGTTGCTTATGTTTTGCTTGTCAGTTGAGATGAATAAGCAGTTATATCAAATTCATGTCATCCTTGATGTTTTCTTTCCTCAGTGGCTGCCAGAGGAAGAGGCCGTGGGATGGGCCGTGGCAACATCTTCCAGAAGCGAAGATAATTTTGGTCTTGAGCGACACTTTTTTTCCACTGGGGGTATTAACTTGGTTACGCATGTATTGGTGTCAGTCTTGCTTAATAAATGTTTCTGACAAAAACTTGTCTGCTCTTGCATGACAGGACTCCTCCTGGGCAAATACATTGTAGATCAATTGCAAATTTGAAAAGGCTTTGGAAAATAGTGGACTCGATTTTTACACTTGACTATCTTGTGTGATGCATTGACTTTTAAAGATCACATTTCCTGTTTCTTGTGTAGTGCTGTTGTCATCCGTTCTCTCAAGAATGGGAATGTACTTTTCATGAAGAATTTTTAAACAGTACCTTTTAAAGTTGTATTAGCAGCTGCTTTTATGGGAAACACAGTGAAACAAAGTCAGCTTCCCGAGAAGCAAAGCGCTATGTTCTTTTGCTTTATATGAACCTACAGCAGGTAGAGGTCCGTCCATCTTCAGATCTCTACTTTGAGCTTGTATTCTTGTGTTTCTTAGCTTTCTTTTTGGATACAGGGATAATTTTTTCATTAGGAACACACAGCTTTGATAGCCTGAGTCCAGATTTGGCGTGAAAATTTTGAGTTCTTAGTATTTTTTTTTCCCCTCTGCCTGGGAAAAGAAGACAATATAAAATAAGCATTTTCAAGGATGAATTTGACATGTTTTGTAAACTTGTAATGCAGGTATATAGGAAAAGTCTTATAAATGGTTATCCATTAAATACAACTCAATACAATTGCTAATCTGAACAAAATTTAGGATCAACCCCATCTCTTGGTCTTAATAGTCATATAGATCATCAGCTGACCTGCAGGAAGCCAAATGTAGTTGAGTAACTGAAGGGTTTTTTTGCTTAAAGTGTAGCGTGACTGTTCTTACTGACTTAGATGGTTGAGAAGTGTAAGATTTATGTACCTTATATGCTTGCATACAATCGGCTATCAGTCTGTACTTGTACAGAACAGCTAGTCTTGCTCTTATGCAGTGAAGATTCTCCTGTGTGTGCAGACATGAAAGTTGAACTTATGTATTAATTTGTTGAATTGTCTGTAAATAAAGCTGTACACCATTAGGAAAATCCTGCTACATGTTCTTCTGGGTCATCATGATCCTAAACATTTGCATTATAAAGCTCCTAAAATGTGATTAAGATATGCTTGAGCTTAATTATAAAAACATTGTCGTCTTACTCCTAGATTGAGGAATTTGTCCAAACAACAGGACAGTTTTCACAAAGCCCCGCTTCAAAATGTGGCATATGAGCCATGTTCCCACAGCAGTAGTGCTTTCCTGAAGTCAGTATTTCCAACTTAAAAATTAGCAATTTGGGCCTTTAGTAATGATATTAAACACTTCTTTTGGAAATGTGTCATTCTCCAAACTGATGGTCACTCAGGAGAGAATTGTGACTGGCGTTAGTTCATCAGGTAATTTCTGAGAGTCTGTGTAAGATACAGGCAAGTAAAACTGCACTGGTCTGTATACAAACTACAACCTTTCTCATCACTAGTAATAGCAGCTCTTTGTATTGTTTGGAATTCTTAAATAAGTTTGGTTCCAGCTCTTCCTGTGGGAAAGAAGACATTCTCACAGGATTTCTTCTCCATGCTTAAGGCCTCTGAATTTCACAAGACTTTTCTGAGAAAGACCATCTTAACATCAACCTGAAGCCGAAATCCATTTTGAGTCTGTACTAGATGCCCACTGGGACTGATTGGTTTTAACACACAGAGAAAACAATTCCATCTTGTTGGTTTGTACCATGGTCTTCATAGGAAGAACTGAACTATCTGCTTCTAGTATCCCATGCTAATGCCTGGGATCTCTGGAGATGGGTTGGTAGGTAAGAATAGGTACTTGTTGACATTCACTGGCTTTCCTTGTTGCCAGTAGTATATGGTGGTATATTCTGGCTGTTTGAAATACGTGTTTTATTTTCAGTCTGTTAACTGTCTTACTGCTTTTCATACATCAGGCTTGGATTGTGCCGCTAGCCAAGTTGGAATTCTTGTACAATGGAGTTACGGTGAAGAGGAAGACCAGGAATGCCACAATACAAATACTTGCTGTATAATGAGTCAAGTATCTGCTGCAAGATTTTATAAGGATGTTTCTTCAGCAGCTAGAACTGCCTCCTCCTCTGAAGCAAACACCTAATAGAAACCTGAGATTAATTAGTGCAACAATTAATTGCCATAAATAGTGTCAGATGGAGTGTGTGTGTGGAAGGATGGCAAGCTGTTCTGCTTAAAGGGTGTCAGCTTGGCCATGGCTGGGTGACAAACGAAGTTACTGCTGCCTTGTTAAGTAATGAGAGACAAGAGGTGCACTTGCAGTTTGAGCAAAGAGACCTTACTTTGCCAGATCTCCTTGGCTCTGGCTTCTGCTGGGTCTCCCTGTAACCTCTTAAGGAAACCAGGGGTGAGGATTGCCACATCTTTTTCTTTTGCTGGGACTATCCAGTACTTCCCAGCCCTCAAAGCTCTGCATCCTTTTTCAGTAAAGCCACCAGAAAGAACTATAAATATGTGGGAAAATACGTAAGCCACAGATGGGGAGCTTGCCTAGAAGTATTTTTGGGAAGAGATTCAACATTTTGGCAAAGCTGCAAATCTGGCCCACGGGCTTTGTGTCTCCGTGTTTCCTTCTGACTGTTAAACAGCATGCATCCTTTCCTGAAGGTTAGGTGCTGGCAGAGGGAAATGACAGCACATTTTGACCACTGACTTCTGACGTTTCTAACCCTCTGTATGAGTGACTGCCACTGAGCACACAGCCATGAAACTTGTTCTTGAACTTTGTTTTTTTCCTGCCTTAGCTTTGAAGCTTTCTTTAAAGCTTGTAACATCTCTATGTTAGCTTTGAAGAAGGTACTAGATTTTGCATAAAGGAAAAGCTTTGCAATTAGGTTGAGGCTGAGTCTAGGATGAACTGTTCACCCTCTTCAGAAAGGTAATGTGAATTACTGTTGAGAAATTTGAAGTTTCCAACTGAAAAATTTAAGAAAATTTAAGGAAAAAAATAGAAAATTAAATTAGAAAAAAATTATTATTTAAAAAAATTAGAACTGTAAGCCCCACCACGGCAAACATATCTCTTAGCAGTTTCTAACCGTATTAAATGATGTGCTAGTTTGTTACAGGCTGCTTTGAAGATCCTGTGTGTGAAGTGTGGTTTATCCTTACTTCGCAGTGTGCTGCGTCTAAATTTCCTGTGCGTAAATGATGTTTCATCCACTAGATGGCTCTGTCGGTAAGAGAATGAAATACAAGAATCCAGAACCCTCTGGAAGGAAAACTGTGCAAGAAATGTGACTTGTGCTATAAAATCCATGAACTCGATACTGTAACAAACTGCAGCGTGAAAATACTCAGCTTATTTTCTTTGTTATTGCATGTTGCCAGAGCTCTGGCTTCATATGCAAGTCAGGTTACACCAGCTGTTGATTGTTGCTCTGTGCTTCCCTGACACTTGGGTGTTCTTAGGCAGGTTGTGCAGATTTCTTGAGTTCAGCAACTTAATCTGTTTCTCTGGAATGGAAGATGCTGGCTCTGGTTTTAGCATCTTCCCTCATTTTTCACCTTTGTTTTTTTTTTTGTTACAGATAGCATAATTTCTTTTCATTCTTTGCCATTCCTTTGTGTGGGGGCTTGTAAACCTCTTCCTGTTCAGTGGCTTCAGGGCGCACTGTAGCTTCCTGCTTTTGACAGACGAGCTACTGCCTTGAAGCTTTGATGTGAACTCGCCACTTTGATATCATTGGTGTAGGTGCCTTTGCATTACTCAATGTGGGACAGAGACACTATACTGCAACCATGCAGAATGAAGTGTGGAAGGGTGCAGGCAGAAATTCACCCAGTCATCCTGAGTCAAAACCAAGGCTGTGCTCTGGTAACAAAACTAGAGGGGAGGTCCTGATGACAGCACAGAGGAGTTAAATGGTCGGAGCAGGTATCACTTGGGAAAAATGCACAGAACTGTAGTACTTTTCCTCACTGATCAGGTGCTTTCATCCCATACATGTGCATCTGCTCTCCAGGTGTGTGTGTTATATTTGATCCTAAAGCTGTATTTTAAGTCATTTTCCAAGGGTATTCTGTAAAATAGCAGTCTGTGAGGTGGTGTGTTATGACTGAGAGGCTGAGAAGGGATGCTGTGTAGATGAGGTAAGTGCCAACCCATAGTGCCTCTTCTCTGAGTGTAATTACATGCCACAATGTGAGAGCCCTGTTCTCCAGGGTAACAGAACTTACAGAATCATGAAGTAGTTAGGGTTGGAAAGGACCTTCAGATCATCTAGTTCCAACCCCCCTGCCATGGGCAGGGACACCACACACTTGGCTTATACCAACTCTTAAAACTGTGTGAGAGTCAGCAGCCTCTTAATCTCTGCCAGTGAAAGCAGAATTAAGGGGAGATGGCCCCTTGATCTCCTGTGCCTTCCATAAAACCTCTTCTAGAAGGGAAGAATGAAGTGGGAAACATGAATTTCTGGTGCTAGTGGTCAGGGTAACTGTACAGTCTCTACCTCTTTCCTACTTAAGCTTCACAATGAGCTTTCATTTAACGTAGAGATGTCCTACTTCCTCTTGCCAGTACAGTGTGAGCAAGGATGGAAGACTGCCATCCCAGTGGAGTAATTATTTGGTAAGGTAGAAAAGGGTGGAATTGTGAGGTCTGCAAGAAAGTGTCAGTGATTTGGTCTCTTATTTCTCAGCCATGGGTCAAAATGGAGGAAAGGTTCTCCCAGGGATTTCTGGTGTTTCCATCCTGACAGACCAAAAACTAGACTTGCATCTTACTGCAGCTAAGCTGATTTCAAACAGTAAGACCTACTCTTCCTCCTCACACATTAGGTAAAACTAACTTTATGGAGCCCTCCTGCCTTCAGTGATTCTTTGTGGGGCAACAGGGATACACCACATTTAAAGCATGGCCCAGACTAGCATTAAAACAAATGCTGATATGGGCAGTATGCTGCAGATTACTTCGCAAGTAAGATGATGCTGTTCTCCACCTCTTCATCCACTAGTGTATGAAGTAGCCAAAGCAGTGCTTGCCTGCAATTACTTTCCCAGATCAAGTTGCAGGTGTCCTGTTGTTGCCTGGTCCTGTAATAACAGTTCTTGATAGTGTCAAGAGTACTTTAGAGGTAATGAATAAGGAAGTGCCACCCTTAACTGCTCCCAAAGACTAGGGTGTGGGATTATTTAGTTCACTGTGGAAACTGACATTAATGTGCAGCATGACCAGCTTTGCGGTGTGTTAATGCACCTAATTCAGACATTTAATGGGAAAAGTATTCTGGTTTTGTGTGTGAATTGGTTGTTCCTAGTAGACAGACTATTATTCCTGGCACAGGACCAGTCATTGCATAAGCAAGCATTGTGCAGCCCTCTGCTGCTCAGCAGAGACTATCGGAGTCTATGAAAAGTGGAGATTTTCCAGCATCATTAATTCAGGGGAGAATGTTGAAGCCCTGGCAAAGAAACAGACTGTATCCAGAAGATGTGGAGTTATGCTGGGAGAAGTTAAAAGAATGGCAGAAAAACACTATTATTGTCCTTTCGTTTAGTGAACTGCTTGCAGCGAGCATTTAATTTGTTCTTCCTTTTCCCTTGCCTGGGGACTTAAAATCTGTTGTCTGGTTGGGGGGTTGCCCTATTTCCAGCTCACTGGAGAGGTGCTAGCACATCTACTCCAGAGCAAAGCACTGCTGTTTGTAAGGGAAAACTACTCACGTTTTGTCCCCCAGTGCCTAAAATGTCAACAAGGAGTTGGGACAGCACTCGGCAGGAATATCAACAGCACTAGGCTGGCGATGCAAGGGGAAGGCAGTGGGAATGCCTGGATTTGCAGGGAGATGGCATGTTACATGGAACTGCC